AGGTCCCTGCCCTTCCCCTGTCCTTTGCCAGCACTGAATCTCCTCAGATCTGAATCTCGCACGGAAATGTCTCTGACCCACACAGAGAGGAATAGATGATGCGGGATGTACCCATGAGCACAACTGATCTTTTACTCAAGCAAGTTTTCTATCCAAAGTCTTTGTATTAAAAAAGTCTTCTTACAGTGTCTACTTTTTTTAATATAAAAGACTACATATGTTGATTTCTCAGGCTGAAGTTTATAATAGTGATATTCTTAATTTGAATGACTTTCAGTGGCTTCGTTTTTTTCTTAGCAATCCCTTTTATGTGTCAGATGGAAGGGAAATACAGACAGATAAGTGAAAGTCATTGTTTTTACCCAGAGAAATAACATGAATGCTTTCCTTGAAGAGAATGGCAAGGTATACACTAACATAATTGGCAAACACAAAATCTGCTCCAAGATGTGGCTTTAATATGAAGCCCGTTAGCATCAGGGAGGAAAATGCATGTATTTGTGTTTATCACAAGATTCCTCTTCTATGCCGGCTGAGTGGATGATTTTTTACAAAAATTTTGGCATGTGTGATATATACTTTGGGTCTCAGATATCTAAAATAAGGAGGTTGGTCTAAAAAATATCTATCATCCCTTCCAAATGTGAGTGTCTGTGATAATTTAGAGTTGGGAGTGACCCCAGACTACAATTAACTGAAGGAAATCTGACCGTTGGGGTGGTTCTTCAGTGCATTGTGGAAGCCATTTCATTTCAGACTGAAATGTGAAAATGTATCCAAATTGAACAAGGCACATAGCTAAAAGGCACATTTTACTAGCTTCCTTTCATCCCATGTCATCTCCACCCTGCAAGGGCACAGACCAGTGTAAACATGAGTTAGGATGAATGAACCTGTGCAGGCTCCGCCTCAGAATCTATACAGCCCACGGCCTGTGCCCCAGGAGTGAGCACTGCATCCCCACATTGGGTCCCCGGTCATTGAGCGGGAGCGGTTAATCCTAAAACAGACAGACTACTAGGTTTCTGTAGTATCCATGCTGATGCTCCGTAGCTGACAGTAGCCCTAAACTTCAAAGCCCAAGTCTTCCCTCTCCCTGTTACCACGAATGTCACTCGGATTTATATTTCTGCCTTGGTGGATGCTTGGCATTCTAATCTCTGTGTGTTGCCAGCTACAAACCTATCCCAGCTGTAGGTGGGGACCCAAGTAGCTTTTTTAGATTCCCTTACCTGTATGTAGAAGCCCTTCACCTAAATTCATTTCAAAGCAAGTCCGTTATTCATGGTCAATGGTTTCATCCATCTAATATTTCTCTTATTTACCTAGACTCCTGACTATATCGCACTTCTGACTTTCCCAGCCCATGCCTGTTTTTGGAGCTCCTTCCTATTTACAGCCTTTTTATTGCCTTGCTCCTCTGATGGAATCTCTACTTATAGGTGGATCTGACATGAAAACCCACCTGAGACTTCCTGAGCCTGGTATAAATAAATCATCACATCTGCCAAGTTGTCCTGAGTTATAATAATAAGCCATTGATTTCACCTATGGAGGTAATTAACAATGCTTCCTATTTTGGGATCTATGAGAACATGATCTGACAGGTATAATAAGTATTTAGACCCTAAATTTTGAAATTACCAATCAGTGAGAAAAATGTTAGAATTTCCAATTTTACCACAATGAAGTTTTGCATCATACTATTTTTGAAACATATAAAGAAACAAAAGTAAAATACACCCATGTTCTTAGTCTTTAAAATTGTGCATAAAAGAACTGAAAGTTTTCCCCTTCACTTTTTCCAATCTCCTTGCCTGGAGAGGATGATTATTAGCATTTGTTGAACAGTTACTCTGTGCCAGAAACTGTTGTAGGCCTGAGGATACAGAAATGAACAACAATAAAAAATTATGGTACTTCCTGAAACTTACTTTGATTGGGAAACCAACCATACAAGCCAAAGAAAATCAGTGAAAAATTATATAATGATCAGTGGCACAGAGAAAATAACATTAGGACAGGGTTAGGCAGTATTTGGGGAGCACACAGTGAAACTTTTAGATTGAAAACTTTACGGAATTGGTAAGTCAAACCATGCAGACCTCCGGGTAAGAACACTCCAAGCAGATGGAACAGCAATAGCAAAGGCTCTGAATAGAGAGTGTAACTAAAGTGCTTGAGGACAGCAAGGAGACTCCCATGGATGAAGAGGAAGGAAGGGGTAAAAAGGGCAATGATACAAATACCAGGTGGGTGTGGGGTGAGGGAGAGCTGAGGAAATACGTCATAGTAAGCACTTTGATTTTTACTTTGAGGCAGATGAAAAAAATTTTGGAGGATTTTGAGAAGAGGGTGAAATTATCTCAAATCTAACTAGTGAGAGTCATGTTGGCTACATCAAAAGAAGACTGAGGGGGAAAAGGGTCACTCAGGGAAACAAAGACCTGCTATAATTCAGGCTAGGAATAAGTTTGTGCCATTGTTGTCCTAGAAAACCTAGAACAACAGTCCCCCTTATCCATGGGGGACATGCTCTAAGACCCTCATGGATGCCTGAAACCTCAGAGAGTACAAAATCTTATATGTACCATGTTTTGTCTATATGTACATACCAACAATAAAGCTTAATTCACAAATTAGGCACAGTGAGAGATTAACAACAATAACTAGTACTAAAATGGAACGATCATAACAATACATTGTAATAACCGACCACTAGGTGAACGTGGTCTCTCTCTCAAAATATCTTATTGTACTGTTCTCACCCTTCTTATTGTGATGATGTGAGGTGATAAAATGCCTATGTGGAGAGACATGACATAAGCATTGTGACATAATCTTTGGTTACTAATGATTTCTGATGATTCTTCAGAAAGAGAATCAGATGCTTCTGGACTATGACCCACCATGGGTAACTGAAACTAGAGAATGTGAGACCTTGGATAAGTCAAATGACTGTGATTGAATCTGGGCCTAAATTGAAGATGAAGCCAACCAGATTTGCTAATGGTTTGGATGTAGGGTATAGAACAAAGACAAGATTCAAGAATGACCCACATTGTTAAACCTAAGGAACTAGAAAGACTAAGTTCTCATAAAATGAGATGAAAAGATTGTGCAAACAAGTTTAGAAAGGTTTAGGAACCAAAAGGTCAACTTTAGAGATGTTAATTTTGAGATGATTATATGTCATTCAAAGGGTGATATAAGTAAGCAGTTGGAAATGAGTTTGGAGTCGGGGAAGAGATCCAGAATGTGATATAAATCCGTGTCATCAGCATACAGATGTATTTTAAACTAGAGTGGATGAAATCACTAAGGAAGTGATTGTAAGTGCAGTGAGAATTGATACAAGAATAAATCTTTGGCTGATTTTAAAGCATAGGTAACTGGGGGGATGAGAATAAGAAACCAGAGATGTAGGAGAAAAACAAGGTGAATAGGGTGGCTTGTAAGCTAAGAGTAAAAAGTGATTCAAGGAATTTGTCCTATGATTATATAGTGTGTGTTTATGTGTGGGCGGATTTTATTTTATAAAATGAGATCATAACTATACCTAATAATCTAAAATCTGCTTTTTCATAATTTGTCATGGAACAAGTTTTTGTATCATCTTTACTCTTAAAATTAAAGATGTTTTATTTTCTAATTTTTGTCTTTCCAGCATTACTAAGAGAAAGTATCATAATGAACTTAAAAAGGCACATTACAGTGAAATTAGTGGTAGTGAATTTTTAAGGTTAACATTTTCTCTTTTCTATTTAGTTAGCAAAAATCCTCTTTGTAACACTGAGAAACCAAAGAAAAACTAAGCCAAGGAATAAGGGAGTAGAAACCAAATTAAAACGTAAAATTGTCCTCATTTCCTACTATTTCTATTAGTGGATAACAATGCATGCTGATTCTGTTTTATTAGAATGAAGAAGTAAGCTTTGAATTGAGCAGGAATTTTTATGGAAAGAGAAACAGCTGATAGTTTCTGCCCATTCTTACTAGAAATTAAAAGTACAGTTTTTCAAAGATTTTAACATCTGTTGGTTTCACTAAGACATAAATTCAATGGCAAATCACCTATGTGGGAACTTCATGATCTTTATTAGGAGAGATGAAAAATAAATTAATTAGCAGTAATTGCACGTGTTACTATTCACACATTTAAGGCAGCAGAACACAGTGCATATTTCACTCCATCTGGAAAACAATGAATGAGTTGAAGGCATTCTAATAGAAGATATGAATAGAGTATCCCTCAAGGGCTTTTCTCAATGCCCGCTAGTTTTCCCACAAATGAGAGCACTTCTTAAACAGTAAATTAACTCTGTCACAAGACATTCCATCCACTAAAACATAAGTGAAAATCAAATACTCAATTATTGAACATTGAGTACATACCAGAAATTGTGGTGGACAGTTTATACTTTGTATAATGTTTTGGATCATTCAGTGGTGTTCAGAGTGGCATGTATAGAAATATGCATTTTAAAGCAATTACGTCAAAGAGAACAAAAATACAGTGCATACTTTCAAGGCGTTATTAATTGGAAGTACACTGACAAGTACACTTTTTCAAACAATAGTTCTTATGATCCAAGTGTTATAACAAATCAGACATGTCATTTAAAATTCTCTGAGTGTTTTGACATTAAAACAACATTTGAGTTGGCTATATGGAAAGCAATCACTGAATAAAAATAACAGAGATGGGCAAAGTTAGCCTTTCTGTTCTTTCTGCTTTCTTATTAAGTACCATCCTCCTTTGTCTTCATTTATATTTATTTTTATTTTGAAAAAACAGCCGGGTTGAAGTAGGTTTCATGTACAAAAGTGCTTGCTAAACGGATTTGTAATAAGCAACTAAGAAAGGATTACTTGCGGTGAAAAGATTTGTAACGCGGCATTCATTCAGTCCTGGCAGGTAATCTCAGGTCTGCTGCTAATTGACTGTTGAATCTTGTCTTTAAATCCTTACACCCTGTTGGCCTCTTCGTAAAATCAAGAAAGCAAACCAGACTCTGCACCCATTTTGATAAGGCAGTGGATGATGAGATGCAACTTCTGGACCAGAAGTCAGTTCAACTGAAAATCCTTTTGTGAGTAAATACAGAATATTTTCTTAAGTAGCCCTGAAATTGAGAGAAAATGACCAGAGTATGTGATCCTTGTTACTATTTTTAGTAATTATGGTTACCCTTTGTAGACTTTTTTTTCTTTTCCGACAGAGAGAGTTTCAACCAGCAACTTTTGTTTGTATGTTTTTGATTACATTTTGCCAATATTTAGATTAAAACTGTTTTTAGTTTCCATTCTCTTTCCTTGGTTTTTTATTTTTGTCCATTCCCTTTGCCCTTTGAGTTGACTTTCCGTAGCATCAGTTCTGCTTATCAGCTAAAATTACATATTTCAATTTTTATATTATTTTTGGAAATAAGCCTGGAATTTTTGGAATTAAGTTTTGTGTGTATATCTCCTACATCACAATAAGTGTTTGTTGAATGACACCACCTTCAGCCCTGTCTCTGCTTGTTGATGCATGTTTCCTTTCTATAGATGCCAATCTTTTCTATATCTTGCCAAGAACATGCTATTGATTTTCTAAATTGGTATCCTCAATGCCCTCTTCCTTTCAGAAAATGATTTTCAAAATTAAGTTCTTAAACTTATTCTTCGTGACAGTTACTGCCTTTTCTGCAGCCTCATTTCATTTGTTTTCTGGTTTGCTTCGTTTGTTGAATACTCAGTTACCTTTGGGTGGGTATGATGGGTCTGGGTCTAGAATTGGTGGGACTGAGACTTGCAGCCCTTTTGTTTTGTGCTTACTCTGCTCTAGGGTACTACAAACATCCCCACTCAGGTCCAGGCCAGGCTGATGTACAAGGACCCTAACTCACATTGTGATATCCAGTGTAAATTATTGAAAGTGGGGCTGGTAGATTGAGGTTAAATCTCATGTAGGTTCTCTGACCAGGGAGAGTCTATGTTCTTTATGATAGAACTATTTCGTGTTGTGACTAGACTGTCCCTCATAGTTGTTACTATGATTGCAAGGTGCCCTCAGCAATAACCATCAGGAAACTTTGAAAGAGACATGTTTATTATGTATAAGTCCTGGAAATTACACAGTACATGGGGCCACATAGTGGGGTCACATATAGGTAGAGAGAGCAGGGGCCTGCAAGTCTGCTTTTATTGGGGTAGAGGCTGGGGGCTTAGGGTTTGTCTGACTCACATTTTCTTGGTGAATTTAAAACTCTGAGTGGGAAACTAAAGCATGGGTAGAGAAAAATCAAGTGACCCAAATGGTCAGTTACTGAAATCAACCAAGATCTCTGAATCAAAGGAGCTTGGGAAGGAGGGTGGGGGCTGGCTCTATTTATCTAGTTGTGTGGCTGGCAGTGTGTTTGTGGAGATAGTGGTCTATGAAGTAGATGCCTTGACCATCGTTGAAGCTTAAATCAAGGCATTTGCATTACCAAAAAAGAAAAACCAGCTGTCTGCACTTCACACTACAAGGATACGGATATGAAACACGACATCCCAAAGCACAGATGCTCCTGATACTTTTGCTGTCTTTCTTTCCTGACAAGTTTTTTCCTTCTGCAATTTAGCATCACATGTTACAGTGTGTTTTTATGCATTACATCCCAGTTTCTCCTGTGCCACCTACTGGGTGCTGTATCATTGAAGGAAGGGATCCAAGCAGAAAAAAGCAAATGGAAATGGAAAGAGGTAACTGGCTCTGTCTCTAAAGACAGCCCCTGAGCATTTGGGAGTATGAAGAACAATTTGTATGTCAGGAGGTAGAAGGGGTCAGCAGGATAATCTGAGCTCAGCATCTTTTGCTATTTCTCTCTTGTTTTAATTTAGGGAGGTAGGTGGGGGTGGGGAGAGAGGTGGTTCTCCGCGTGGTGCTGTGCTAATCCAGAGCCTGGGGATCTGGTGAGCATTTCTCCACACATCTCCGTGGGCAGCGCACTAGGTAGGAATGGATCCTGGACTTAACAAATCATTTTCTTTTACATTTAGTTTACTTTGCTGTTTTCAGTTTCGACACTTTAATCTTTTTCCATATTTTCATGGACATGTACTGCAAAGTTGAGAGAAGGTGCATCATTGTACTACAGAGTCTATACATGTGAATGGAAAAGGTTTTGAAGCTTATCTGAAATCAAAGCCAGTATTCTAGATTGTTGGTTATATATGCTCATATTTCCTCTAGGCATTCTGTGACAGTTATTAGATTGGGCTATAAAAATTTGAGAGTATATTGAAAAACACATAAAGAAGTACTTCCATGTAGAAATGCAAGGTCATAGCCATAAAGAATCCAGGGTCTCAACTTTTATATTTGTCTTCTGCATTCTTAAACAAAAAATATACTATTCTAGGTCTATAGGATTTAAAAGAGAAACCCCTTTTTTAGACTTCCAAGGGGGTGTTTACAAATTTTCACATATTCACATTATGTTCCTTACCCAAGTTAAATAAATACATAAATACACTAGAAAGAAGAAAGAACCTTGAGGCTGAAATAGAAAGTTTTCCAGTTCCATCACTAACTATCCTGTGATATTGATCATTAATCACAAAATGGTAGAATTTTAAAAGCTCCTTAAAATCCATTAGAATGATGATTCAGTGCACTATAATCTGCATCTTCTTCATGTAAATTTAGAAATGTGATGCTTCTTCACAATATATGGTCACTCTTGCTTGATGTATTTGCTGATTTTTATTGATAATCACTGGAATATGTTTTCCTACTCAGACTGGTACAGAGGCTGTCCACGTTTAATATACATAATATATCTTTGCAACTGTAAGAACATAATAAATTTAAAAAATGTGCAATATAAAGCTACAACCTAGAAATTTTGACCTTCCATCTCCTCAGTTAAAAATAAATTTAGATTAACCTCTTGATTTTAAGTATAAATCCTGGAGAGGTACGTCATCGTGTCAGGCGTCACACCGCTTGGACATGGAAGAACCCAGCGCCCAGACGGCCTTTCCCCAGCGTCACACAGGCTAGCAGGATAGGATCCGTGGGCCTTTGTTCCCTGGATGGATCTCATCTGATCAGGATTCCGCTCTTTCCTATTTTCCTTTGTATACTATGTCAGTTAGGGTTGTTCTGAGCTGCTTTGCTAGCCTTACCTTCTAACTTTTATCCTTAGGATCACAAAACTTTTTTTCTAACTCTAAGCATGGCAGTTAACCATAGTCATACAGGAAGAAGGGGAGATAAGTGGGAAAAGGTGGTGCTTTCTTAGAATAAATCACTTTACACCTTAATAATCCAAAAATACATTATTTGACCACCCTTATTTGCAAGGGAGTCAAGAATTAAGGTTTTTGTTAATTTGTTTTTTTTTTAAGCAGGACACTGACACCTCAAGCAAAATTCAATCCATTACTGAATCCTTAGTATTGAGTAGATGCTGTATTCTAGGTCAAATGAGTGACATGTTGGAATCTATCCACTCATGTTAATTTAATGTTTATTCATTAGTCTTATGAACATTAGAGGGAACATGGACTATATTGTAAGCTACAAATGTATTTTTCAAATGAAAACATTCCCAACAAGAATATTACAGTGAAACCAGGATAAGTTTCTGTTTTTGCAAAGAAATTGTCTTTTAGGCTATCTTCATATAATACTCTTTTAATCAAAAGATTGATGAAAGTTGAATTTCTCTGGAAAGTATATAGATTGCAATTATACTATGTTTTCAAATAAGTATATATTTATGCTTTAATGAACAGTCAAATTTGGGTTTCTAATTAACATTTTATTGTGGAATTTTAAATACTTAATGAGAATTTGTGGCAAAAGAGATGAAAAAGTGAAGTGAAATTATCCCCATACACAAGGGTTCTCCTAAAAAAAGGAAACTTTAACACATTAACAAGCATGGAAAAATGGCTAACAGAGACCTCAAAAAACAGTTTCTTAGACCAGTATTTTAAACCTTTTTTCATATAGCGTTCTGTTTATTTTGTCCTTAGAGTATCATATATCTCATCAGCTCTCAAAAACTTGGCAGGTAGAATTCCTTAAAAGGAACTCTTAAGTAAAAATAAGTAAACTTAAATTTCTTTTCCATGAAAAACAGTATTTTTAAAAGATATTGGCATCCCTTGTCAAGGGATGTAAAAATTTACATCAAGGTCTGATGTAAAAAATTATAAAACTTGTTTTTGAAAATTATGTATAATAAACTATGAATTGCATATCAGCATAGTGCTTTGTTAAGAAGTTTTCTAAAATCTGGGAAACAGATAATCAGTAATTTTCCCAATATTTACAATTATTTCATGAAAGAGATGCCCAAAAATGTATGGAGGCTGAACTATAACTTACTAAAATAAATCTAATGAACCAGTGCTTGGACAGACCTTTGGATCCTTCAATTCAATAATCACACTGGTTGCAATAAAAAAGAAGAAACTGCTGGCAGAGGGAGCCAAGATGGCAGTGTGAGTAGGGCAGTGGAAATCTCCTCCCAAAACCATATATATTTTTGAAAATACAACAAATACAATTATTCCTAAAAGAGAGACCAGAGGATACAGTACAACAGCCAGGCTACATCTACATCTGTAAGAACTCAGCACCTCACGAAGGGGGTAAGATACAAGCCACGACCCAGCTGGACCTGAGTGCTCCCCCACCCCAGATCACCGGCAGAAGGAAAGGAGTCAGAGTGGGGAGAGAATGAAAGCGCAGGACTGCTAAATACCCAGCCCTAGTCATTTTCACCGAGAGTACAGACACACATTACATGGCGTGCTGGATATTAGGGAGACAGAAAAGTAAATCTGCGAACAGGTCCAAACAGCTGGCTCCCCTGGGACAAAAGAAAAGTGAGTGCTTTTTGAAAGTCTTAAGAGGACAGGGGCCTCACAGCTAGACGGAAGTGGCCCAGCACACTGGGCCCAGCAGCTGGGAACCCCAGAGAACTCAGGGCACCCTAACCCTCTGGGAGGCAGTGCAGCTCTGAGGCCCCTCACGGCAATAAACAGCCTTCCATTCATTCTGCCAGCTGGTGCACCCCACCACAGCAGTGGAGCAACTGGAGAGTGGCCG